CACAACATTGCTGATCCATTTACAAAGCCCCTCACGGCTAAAGTGTTTGAAGGGCACCTAGTGAGTCTAGGACTACGAGTTATGTAATTTAGGGCAAGTGGGAGAAAAGGCATCAGTATGTGATGCCCTAGTTTATTGTATTTCTCTCTGCTCAACGTTATAAAACCCAACTAGAGTTTTAGTCCAAGTGGGAGTTTGTTGGGTTTTATGTCCTAAAACTCATAGTTTGTAAACAAAGATATATTCTATTTTCAATAAAGTTATTATTGATGTTTATTCAGTAAAAAATTGTTATTGAATAAAGTGAACTTTACGATCATTAATCTAAATCCAATAAACTAAGAACACTCTGGCTATAGTATGATTACTTGAACTATATGTAGAGACATAAGAGTGGATCAAGTTCAAGTATATAGTCAAAATGATCTATAGTATAAGGATAAGGCTGAGTACCTTATTCTGGGGACACTATGGATGCGGCCCACTTTTGTATATGATATAAACAATGTGATCACTAAATTGTACATGTGGAGACATGTGAGTGGGGGCGTCCTATGCAATGAGTATTGCATAAGATCGGACCATGAAGAAAACCACTCTCACTTTATAAAGTCGTTTACTGTTGAGACTGATTTTCTTTTCATTCGATAACCTAGGTAACTCGGTTTTAATCCTGAGCTAACCATGAACTCCTGTTTATTCGGAATTATCCTTAGATTTGCATGGGTGAGAGTGGCTCTAGTTCGCCGACTCAATAGGCCTCCCATTTCAGGGGTAAGACTGGGTGAATGGCTAGAGACGTGGGGTGCAAGACGGAATTCACTCCTACCCACTTTTAGGGATAGAAGAAAGGTAGTTCCCTTAAGCACTGACTCCAGGTCTTGAACAAGGGGCCCCACCCTCTCATTGGCCTGAGAGGGATTCGGTTTACTGGTTGGACCACAAACCAATTGTTCATTAGAGGATCAGTGAGACATAAGGAACAAGAAGTAACTTCAGGGGTAAAACGGTAAATTGACCCAGCTCTAGTTACGAACAACCTGTGAAGGATCGACTTACTAATCATGGTTATATCAGTGGACAAAAATATATCTATAGTGAGGGGAGTGCAACTACTAGGCTATAGTGGAGTGTCCTAGTAGTTAACGAATGTTGGTTAACCAGGTTAATGAGTTTAATTGGTTAATCTTGGATCGTTGGAGCCCATGATCTATAGGTCCATTAGGTCCCTCTGCTAGCTCATATCGGACTAAACCATAGAACAGTGTGACGAGTGAGTTCGAAGTGTTCGAATTCAAATTAGGGAATATGCGTTACATATATACGATATATTTAACCGCAATTTTGTTTTATTTACAAATTAAACAAAAAGAGAGAATATGAGATATTTAAATAAGATTTAAATATGTTAATCAATTATGTGTCGGAATTGATTGGGATTGGCATTTGAATTAATATTAAATATTAATTAAATAGTTTAATTAATCATTTAATGTTACTTTAATTTGAAATTCATTATTCAAATTAATTGTTGAATTAAAATGAAGAAAGTCAAAATGTTGACTTTCATCTAATGGAAAAATCCATGTTAGTGGAATTTTGAGGTGTCAAAATTTGGTTTAACCAAACTTGCATGTTTGCCAAATAAACCCCACAAGTTTGAGTGGAATTTTGAGTGTCAAAATTTGGTTAACTCAAACATGCATGCTTGCCACATAATCCCAAACATTTGAGTGGAATTTTAAGTGTCAAAATTTGGTGATCTCAAGTTTGCATGAACATGCAAACTTGACTCTTTAAATAGAGTGATCATGATATTTGGAAGGGATTCTTCATCTTGATGAAAAAAACCTTGAGACAAACACTCTCTTTCACATATACAAAATCCCTCCCAAGCTTTAGTCACTCATCGGATTCCACAATCCCGTTCTAAGGCCGGAGGATAGTGGAGAAGACATTAGTGGTGGTTCGAAACCGGTTCGTGAGGCAAAAGGAGTTTGAACTACAAAAGGTTGGTATTTAAACTCATTAAGTTTTAATACTTATGAACATGCTAGTTATTTACAATAATTGATGTTCGAAAAGTGCCTAAGATCCAAATTGCTTCCGCATGTGTTATATTAACACCATCAATGCTTTAATGATATATATGTATGAGATGTTGTGTTGCACTATGACATGAATATGCTTGATAATGAAATGTATGATATGCTACGACATGTATGGCAACGAGGAGTTTTTCTAACGCACAACCCTTAAGTAACGATATGATGATGTAATGTATGAAAACTTATGCATGCATGTTACCTAGGGTAATATGTGAGGAATGTATGGGGTTGTGCCGCATGAATGTCTTAAAATGAAAATAATAGGGACTTCATGCATATTATGTGCTCACTAACATCGGGATACTTCCCTTTTTATGATGAATAAGGATGCATAGATGATAAGATGACCACGATGCTTGGCATGATGCATGACAGTCGTTGCGCAAGCCCGCTTGGTGAACCCACGTTTGCACATGTGGATCGTGTGTAGGAAAGTGTCACACATTTAATTTGTTCGGACTGAAGACCACCTAAGAGACTATGGTTTTAAAAGATAGGTCCTATTCATGATTGTATGCGTTTGAATTCCCTTAGCCGAACGATGGGTCACTTACTGAGTATTTCTTAAAATAATCAAGTCATGCGTTACTTTTAGATACCAGGTAAAGACAAAACACCTATGTACGATTGACGGCGACATCACATTAAAAATCATGGAACTTACATAGGGTAGTTGCATTTAATTTCGTAGGTCTTAGGTTAGTATAGGACATTATTTTTTTTTTGAGGTTACTCTGACCATTGTAAATGCTTAATTGAAGCCAAATTGTCTTATTAGATGACAAACCGGAGGGCTTATTTAACTAAAAGAGGAAATGGGAATATTGATGGGGACGGATATTTCAAAGTTATGAATCTCGAGATAGCGTGTAAGGCTCTGCCTTTTAAGATAAGATGATTATAATTGTTAAGAGTAGAGGTGTACATGGTCCGGGTTGGGTTGAGGGATTTTCTTGGCCTAACCCAAATCGATAAAATATTCGAATACAATCGTAGGATCATCAAATTAAATAAATGATTAGTTTAAAGATGTTGTATATAACAAAAATAAAAATAGGTGTCCTTAGAGAAGCCGAGGTACCCCTCTGACAAACTTATTAATACGAAAAAATTCCTAAAAGAATAATTTATATATTTTTATTTGTCTCGGATCAATCCGAAAGTTTTATCCACGAACCCGAAACTAAATCGATTCAGTTCGGGTTCAGAAAAATGAACTCAACCCTACCCGAAATGCTAATCCAACCCAACCTAACCCAACCCTTATAGTTTGGGTTGAGTTAGTTCGGGTTGTCGGGTTGAATGTACACCCCCTAATTAAGAGATTAAGGGAATATGACCGAGTGAATGGGTGTCATTGCTTGTGATCCAATTTGAGAAAATTAATTTAAGCGAGTTAAATTAAGATAATAAATTTTTTAAATTTAGTCCTCGTTCCATTAGATTTTAGCAAACTCGAATGACTCCGACATGCACAATCCACGTGTTTAATGACTCGTTCTTCTCACCAAGGTCGCTTGAACAACAACAACAACAACGGTGGTAATTCCCCCTCATCTCAATGATTGTAAGCAACGACGACAATCTTTTCCAACACATAAGCGACAATGGTTCCCGCATCCCATCTTCGATTGACCTTATCAAGCTTTTTTTACGAGGCATACGCACGCGATGAATTGCTTCTTCTTTAATTTTTAGACTTGTGCGGTAGCAAGTACGAGCGCGTATCAAAAGGACTCTTCTAAGGTATCCAACAACATTAAAACATTGAATGTGAGATCAGTGTGTATGAAATTGATGCGTACTCGATAAAATCCAAAGATTATGATAAATTAATGTGAGCTTGGAGGGTTTTGGATGTATGAAAGTGTTGGACATCCCGAACATAAGAAAATAACTAGAATTCAAAGCCATGATTTTAGATCCCGTTATGAATGAAAGACATGTTTGCATGTATATGCATTTTTCGACTCGAGCAATGGGGTCAGATACTAACTATCACATTTTCTAATTTTTTTCCTCTCAAATAAGAGTAAAGACACCGCAGACGACTGATAGTGATTGCTATCTAAGTTAAAAGGATATCCAACTCAAATCATAAAGGTTGACTTCTGTTAGATATATATATATTTAAATTGGGTTGAATTTTTGGAAAACCTAAAATTCTGGTTGGTTGACATTTTTTTTGTCTGGTCAACCTACTAACCCAAGAAATAGGGTTACAATCCAATCCAATTCTTCACTACTATTAATAATATTATTAAAAATTAAGAATATTTGATATTTATTACCGATGTTAGCGATGCACTATAACTTGCAAATGTTTGATATTTGAGTTTCACGAGATTTTAATTATTAATGTAACATTTACTGTGGATAAGTAATTTTTTTTCTAAATAATTAAAAAAAAAAAACTCGATAACCTAATTCGATCACATTATGGACATTATATTAATTAATTATGAATATCAAATTAAAAACTAATTGTGAATAATAATTTGTAGATTTCCTTTAATTATAATATGAAATCAAATTAGTAAGTTAATTATTTATAAAAAAATAGCTTGAAAATATTTAAAATTCTTAATAAACAAATAAAAGTAATTAAATAATTTTGAGATTATTTCTAAACAAACAAAATTATAATAATATTTTAAAAAATAGGGACAAAATTTAGATATTTTTTTTATTTATAATTTAACATTTTTTTTATTTAAAGAAAAAATTATAATTATTTTATCAAAACAAAATTTCTAATTTAAAAAGAAATTTGTAAAATTAGTTTTTTTTTTCGTTTTTTATAAAAGAAAAAAAAAGAAAAAAGAAATAAGGAAAGGGTATTTATGTAATTTAGCTTACAAAACCCTAATTGGGTGGAATTGGCGGATCGTATTTGTAGCTCATTCCGCAACCCTAAAACCTTCCGTCCAGTCCTCACTCACTCTCGCTCTATCCTCTCGTAGTTGCCGTTTCCTTCGCTCCTTTGCAGCTATACTACGGTAAGCCCCTCTCACTGCCGCTATCTCTCTCTAATTCCACGCTTATGTTTGCGAAAATCATACTTTTGATTCTATAAAAAGCTGTTGTTTGTTGCTGTTGCTGTAGTTATTTTCTTTTTGGGTCTTCTAGATCGTTGAAATTCCTCAGAATTGTTGGTAGCTTTCACGTGTCAAGCAGTCGACTTGTTTTTTTTTTTCTTTTGCAAGTAGCTTGTGGGTTTTTCGAGTTTTGCTGTTTTTAAGATTTGCAGGAATTGGTTCAAGACAGTTGTAGTTCTATTACTCTTGTTCATGTGTGTTTTACCTAATTAGTTGTTATTCAGAATGTAAGTGGTTTTGTGTTGATTTAATTTGAACCTTGGTGCACTGCTATGAATTTAGGGGGATTTCCCCCTTTTTTTACATAAAAATACCTTTCATGAATTGGTATACGCATATGATGTCTTTTGCTCGCGAATAGCAATCACAAGGATCTGATTTTTTGAAACTAATCTTTTATGTAAAAGAATGAACCATCAAGGGACAATTCCTTTCCTCAATCCGGTGTAGATATGTTGTCGGGATTAGTTCACTTTCTTGATATAAGTTAATGAAATATGTGGATAAATAGTAAGATAGTAATCCCGTGTAATGTCGTTTGGACGAATATGTTAGCAATGTGTGTTTGTCCGCATCTACTTTCATCCTCTTGAATGTCTCATATTTTGTTACCACAATCCATGTCACCTTACGCTATGTTATCATCCCTAGGCCATCATGATCTTACATGTGATGTGCCCCATGTTTGCTAAAAGTTATTTAGTTATAGGTGAAGATGAGACATGCCAGATAGTTCCTAGTATTTTACGTCATGGTTTCACTATTATACTCGCATGCATTTGTATCTAATTTATTCCCTGTTTGCAAGTACGTTTACTGACAACAAGTGTCCTCACTCTTGGATGATAATTTTGCCATTTAATTTAAGTTAGACCAGATTGCCTTTCCAATTTGAACAAGGGAGAGAATGAATTTTCAGGAATTCAGACATGCCTTATGTTTGTACTCAACTAGTGCTCACTTTTTCCGTCTTTTTATGTTCATTAGGAACCATGGCTGTTGAAGTTGATGTGGTAAACCAGGAACTGACCCAGCCTCATCATGATGTGAAGCTGTTTAACCGGTGGACCTTCGATGACGTCCATGTGAATGATATGTCTCTGGGTGATTACATTGGGGTTGCTCCTTCCAAGCATGCCACCTATGTCCCCCACACAGCTGGGAGGTACTCTGTCAAGCGGTTCCGAAAAGCTCAGTGCCCAATTGTGGAAAGGCTCACAAATTCTCTTATGATGCACGGTAGAAACAATGGGAAGAAGCTTATGGCTGTCAGGATTATTAAACACGCAATGGAGATCATTCATCTTCTAACTGATCTCAACCCAATTCAAGTCATTGTTGATGCTGTTGTTAACAGTGGACCACGTGAAGACGCCACTCGAATCGGTTCAGCTGGTGTCGTTAGGCGTCAAGCTGTGGATATATCCCCTCTGCGACGCGTTAACCAGGCAATCTATCTTCTTACGACAGGAGCTCGTGAGGCTGCCTTCAGAAATATCAAAACCATTGCAGAATGCTTGGCTGATGAACTTATTAACGCAGCAAAGGGTTCATCTAACAGTTATGCCATCAAGAAAAAGGATGAGGTCGAGAGAGTCGCAAAAGCTAATCGTTGAGGTTATTTCTCAGTGTTCGTTCTACGTTGGCACAGCAAGAGTTTTTCTCCTTTTCTTGTGTTTACATTCTTCTAATGAAAACACTATAGCCTAACGTGTTCTGTTTTGTTTTTTTTTTTTTTATGGTTGTCGCGACAATTCATCTCTATTTGGTTTTAGACTTGAAAGTTTTGATATCAATGCCCCTTTCATTAGAACAAGCAAATAAATGCATTGTGTTTTCGTAAAAGCATTGTAACTTTATTTCCATTTATCTATCATTAAGAACTACTCAATTGGATGATATCAATACCCACAGACGTTTTAGGCTTTAAACGTTTTATGAACACCAACTTTCTCATTTACCAAACACAAACTCAAAACATTCCTCCTCATAAATCTTGATCTGAAAATTTTTGAGAATTCTAATCTGTAAATGTACTTACCACTGCAGAATTCCTGATTTGAACAGTAAGGTTTGGAAAGGGAAATTGGCCCTCTTTGAGCAGGCAGGAGCAGCAACTTTACAAGCAAAATTAGGGAAAATATGTAATAATCTCTGTCAAACAATGTATTTACAGAATTTGGAGAAGTTTCTTCTTATTCTTAGTCGAGATAAAAAAGGGTAACGATTTTTCGGAGATTTTTTGCCTCTTGACAAGTTTCCATGAGCAACCTACTATCATGAAATGCAAAGCAAATGACTTGCTGTACATGCGAAATGATGTCCATATTGCATAACCTGCAACTTTCAACAAAGGCATTAGATGGAACATTCAAACTTGAAACATTTTGAAAACAATGTAATGATATACATTTACAAGCAAAGATACACCAAAATTCCATTATCTCATTTGATTTTAACTTGTGTTGCAACCTGAGGTATGTCGTTGGAAAATAACTTTACGACGACTTTCATGAACGATCATGAATATAGCAGAAATAAGGGTTTTTTTTAAAACAATGTGATAATACATTTACACGCAAAGCTACCTGCTAGCTTCTATTAAAGGTAGATGATCGTTGTAGGGCTTCTCTATCACATTCTTAACCTACAAATGCCAAGATAATCATGATAGATAAATAATTAAATGAACATAACAGACCACCAACCCAATTGAACTCATCAACAAACTTACTTTGGACAATAGTTCCTGGCTCTCAGGAGGTTGTTTCTTCAAACTTTGTGGCAGAATGACAGTAAGCAGTTCTGGTTTCTCAGCCCTCAATGCACCTCTGATAACTGCTGCATTGGTTCCAGATGCTCCTGAAGTATAGATGTGGTTTTTCTGCATACAGAAGTTATCAAGCAATATGAAGTTTATGTACTCATCAAAAACCAAATAGCCCTTCAGTATAATCATTGACATTAGACCACATATCCTACCGTTATAACCATTGCATAGCTAAGAATCTCGATGAGTTCTTGATGCAAGAAACCCATATTCCGAGTTCCAAAGAAACCAATGGATCTAGGACCTTGTTGTTGAATGGCCAATAACTCCTGTGAAAATAAAAACACATTGTGACTTGAAAGGAGCTTCACGCAAGCATTGAAATCGAGAAATTGTGGGCACTAAGAGCTAAGACTTAAAGCTTTATAAAAGGTCACCCAAAAGAATTACTTCCTCAGGAAATTCTAACATTTGCAAATGCTCAAGTCATGCAGGAAAAAAAACTTCAGATTCGAAATGCATTGGAAGAAAAATATAGTCCATTTTCCTTTTAATCATCTTTTTTTAGGAGATGGCCAACATCCAACATAAGTATTCGAAATGATCGTATCTTATCACTCACCTGTAGATAATCAACATCAGGAACTGGTTTGAACTCAGTCACCATAACTGATCCTGATCCTTCCACTATGGACTGAGCCTGGGTTGGAATTTGAGTGCCCGTCTTCTCATCATTAAACCCAAATCCAAACATCTGCGTTGTATTCTTCGTCTGATGCACGTAACTATCTCCATCTTTATCTCCTTTTATATGCCCTTGGATGCACTATAACCAGTACATAAAAAAGATCCCCTGATAGTAAATCATTAGTGAAAACCAACTGCCCACAAATGTGGTGAAGTAGAAACTCGCTATTTTATCCATGCCAACTCTAAAATAGTATCAATACTGAACAAAAGTTCCAATTAGAAGGTTGAAGTGAATCAAGTCAACTGGGAATAAAAATCTGTTCAGATAACCTAACAAGATAAGAGCATCAATGTTCCAAAAGAGAATCAATGATTGGCATTGCAAATGACAGATGCAAAGATCTATGAAGCTGACTAATCATCATAAGTCATCAAGGACAAATCAATTACAGAAAATACCAAGTTAATCACAAGTTGTTATCAACTTTGATACCTAAAACACGCCATGCAAACAAATTAATCTACACTAGAAATATTTACATGACATCAGCATTTAGATGGTATAATGGATAAGTTCGATTCCATAAAAGTTGTTCTAGAATTATGTTCTTGCTAGAACTACAAGTATAACCATGGTTGATTGACAACTAAGATTAGGTCTGTGTCAACCATATTCGATCAAAATTCAATATTTTCAGCCATAGTTTTTGGATCTTGACAATGCATGGGTAAAATCCTCAGCCATCCGCAACAATCAACAAATAATAATAACGAAGAAAAAAATTATGTTAATACTTTTTAAGAAAAGAAAGGTGTTTTGGGACCAATTGCTAAAAAGGAACAAATTGCATGTTCTGACACTAAATTTTGGATAGTTTCATAGAGAATCTGATTTTTTTTTTTTTTTTTTTCCCTTCTCATGGTGTAAATAGCTCCCCACTTTTTGTGATTATGCCCTTCATTTCCTCTTTATGATCCAATTGGAAGAATTTGTCGTACTTCAGAAGTCCAGGAGATGAGACTGTCATTCCTTTTCTTTTGTATATTCATTAATGAAAGTTGACTTTGTTACTGTTCAAAATGAATATAAATTTATCTTATGAATGGGTCAACTACTGAACTTTATAGAAAAAAAAATATAACAACATCTGTAATTTATCTTTGATAAAGGGAAAACGTCATTTCCTTGAAAACAAACCTGATAATTCTCAGGGATCTCTATGCAATCCTCTACCTCTCTGCCCTCTTCTTGGCTGGAAATAGAAACCTCGGAGAACATATCTTTTTAATCACCTAGCTTTTCCAAATGGTTTATTAGAAAACTCAGCCTGGGTATTGGTTATAGAGCAAAATTTCCCCTTTCTTCTTTTCAGAAATGACTTTCTAGGATCTGTCTCTAAATCTTCCACAAATTCAACTGATTTTGCCCTTTCCTCCATCTGTCTGCTTTTTGAATTTAGAGGACAAATCTGGAAAGGCCCACTAATGCAAAGGACTGCTACTACTTTGCCTGGCAGTGGTGTCTACATTCGTGTGAAGCTTGAGGGAAGACTATCATGGGGGGTGTGCAAGCAGTCCTATTAGGCATGTGATTCAAATTTGGGCTAAAGCCTGAAACCTCTCCCCTTAACCTTAATAGTCATGGGGGGTGTGCAAGCAGTCTTCTCCGGGTAAAAAAATAGTGTCTGATGGGTAAAAGAAATCTTCCCTTAACCTCCACAAATCTATCGAGTTAGGACCTGACCTTGTGGCTGCTTCAGATGAAAACCCACCATGAACTTCAACTTTCTTTTTGGCCAACAACCAGCCAAATTGGAGCGTACTCACATGGGTGGAAAACACCTGGTCTCTATTAAGAAGTTTTCACTTCAGCGAGGATGAATCCACAGTAATTCCCTTGCACTTTAATAGCAACTACTAAGCACTCAATGAGGGAAGAGTTTTGATCTGCACAGTCCACTTAATAGCAACTACTAAGCACTCAATGAGGGAAGAGTTTTGATCTGCACAGTCCACAAGACCGCAAAGCAATCACCTATTGCCTTGAATGTGGCTCGGCTCCATAAATGCAGGGGAATGTTTCTGAAATTTATCCAATCCCCGTAAGAGGGGACCACTGTAGTTCTCCTGCGCCTCAAAGGGGTCCCATCTTTCTAACTTCATTTTAAAGGCTCCAAAAGTAATCCACCCTACATTTGTGGCTCATAGCCTTGCATACTTGTCGTGGGACACAACAAAAGGGCTTTATTAGGGAGGAAGGGATAAATAGTGAAACTCCTCCAGCAGTTAAGGGTTTAAAAAATTCTTGCCCAATCGTTGTGGAAGTCTATTCTAGTAATAGAAAATAGTTTACCCACTTAAAGAATCTCCTTTGTGCATCATCCTTTTAAGAAGACCAAGAAGTTGCTCTGGTGGTCCATAACTAGGCCTTTTTTGTGGAGTTTGTGGCACCAAATAATCAGGTTTTCATGGTTTGGAGACTAATTTTCTTAGTGTTACCGATACCATCCCTTTTCTACTTTTTATTTGTGCAAATGAACATCAAAATTTAAAGATTATTTGATTATGTCTCAAGTCTCTATTTGGCAATATATTGTTTGTTTTTTGAGTTCAACGATAGCGGGGTGTAGGATCGAATCATTGATCTTTGGGCTGATTGGTGATCATTTTTGTAATCCACCATGGGTGGTTGGAAGTTTCCTTCCTCTCTTCATAACTCTGCTTATCCAACCAAAAAAAACTAATAGAAAAAAGGGACAAACTGTCAAAATGAATGCATGTGCGGCATGCATTAGGAAAAGGATGAAAGAAATTGACAGTTTTAGGATCTTTTCCCCTCAGAAGTTGGATGTTTTCTCCAGAATCTTGTTGAATCATGAAATTTCCTTGCTTTTGATTTTATGAACTAGTGGTTGTCTTACAATTATGTAGAAGACAAAACAATTGTTTGGACGGCTTAAGTAACTATCAGTTTTGAGAAAGACAGATATCATCTATCTAATAGAGCACTTGCTCAAGGGATGACAATGTGTTGAGTTTGGATGCAAATTTCCAGATTGCTAGTTATAACGTTAGTGATAGTTTATGAGTTAATCCATCCCAAAGTGTAAATTATTATTAGAAACTATATCCAACTAAGTGCATTTTTCCATGTTTTCCCCTCTTTCTTTCATATAAAATTTGACATGTGCGACCCCATATTTATTGTCGCTGTTAAAACAGAACCCTAAAGGAGATGCCTATTTCATCAACTTATCAAGTCTACTAACGAAATTAACAGTTCAAGGTTTTGCTATGCTCTAGATAAAAACAGTTCAAGGTTTTTCTTAGTTGCCACTTTGCAGGGAGAGGGAGAGATCAG